TTCAGGATCTTCAGTGTTTACATTTAAACAATAAATGTTGTATAATTCGTAATCTGAATAGTGTTTAGGTATTTTAACTTGTCGACTAGATTTAGTGCATTTATCTTCTGTAACGTTCTCTTCTATATCTTCTCTGTCGTCTGTCGTAGTTTCATTATATTCATATTCAGTCAGGTTTTCTTCATTTTCCCTGTTTATTGTATGTACTTTTTCCCTTGTAACAATATACTATCCCTTATACGCCACAACAGAATGGTCTTGCAGAACGTATGAACGGGAGTTTAATGGATAAAGTTAGAACAAAATTTGTTGAAACCAATTTGCCAAAGGAATTATGGGGAGAGGCAATAAGATGTTCTATGTATGAATTAAATCGGTCTCCAACTAAAGCAAATGAAAATAATTGTTCTCCAGTTGCTATTTTGTATGGAAAAAGTAATTTAAAAAAATTAAAGGTATTTAGTAGTATGTGTTGGGCTGTTCAATTACCAAAAGGAAATAAATAAAATAAACGTGCAAATCCTTATATTATAATGATAGGATATTGTAATGGTGGTTATAGAGTATGGAATTACCGAACAAATGAAATAATTTATGTTATAGTACCTTTTTATGTTATTTTATTTTCTTGTATATTTTGTTTGTAATGTTGAGGAGGCTACTCCACATCTCCACGCAATGAAATGAGGCGTCCAGGGAAGGTCTGCCTTAAAAATTCCATAGCTGCACTCGATGTATGGCATGTCGCCCCATCTTGTTGAAACCATACAGTATTGAGGTTGATACTCGACCACGTCTTCATTGTTACTAATAACTAAATGGCGGCTCCTGACGAACAGATACCCCCACCAAGGTTCTACCCACCTTGCGTGACGCCATGTTCAAATCATCCATACCTCCCTGCCTAACCCTGTAATTGTTTTTTCTTAATTTTGATCAAGTCAACGTTTACCACCTCTGAAATTACAAACAATTATGGCGGCATCACTTGAAAGCTGTCAAATCCATATATTCATGGCCTACTAATAGAAAAAAATAAATTAAATCTGCCATTCTTTGCATGATTTTGATTCATTCCGCTCTATCTCAACAACTGCAACAGATAGGTATAGGGACATGTACTGAAAATTTGTAGAGAATTAAATTCTCTGTCTCATAGGCTAATCAAATATGGGGTGTTCCATTCAAAATTTTTGACTCTTTTGCAATTGAATATGGTAAAACAGTAGTTACATTTTTGAACACTCTGTATAAGCTGGACCGATGTAGCTAATGGCGCTCTATTTAAGGATATTCAAGCAGCAACTGTTACAAATTTTAACTTTCTAGCTCGATCAGTCGCCAAGAAATTCAGAGTTGGAGGGCAGTGTTAATTGCTAAAAAAAGCTTCTAATTAATAATAATAATAATGATATATCTTTATTGTGCCTTCCACAACTACAAATAACATACTACATATTTCTATTTCATAATATTAAATTAAAGAAGGAACACAATGGGCGGGTTCCAGACAATGTCTGCTCATACCAACCCAATTAAAGCAAAAAAAAATTCATACTGCCTTCACAAATCCCAACATGCCAATGGTAAATATCCCAGCATCAGATATTATTCTCCCCCTTGCTGCTGAAACCTCAGCCGCATCAAACTCTTCCTGAATGTACCTAAGCTCAGAGTTCGCATGTCTCATGTTCGCATGTCAAATAGAGACGTCCGATGTTTTGGTGGATATATAGAATTGTTTAATCTCGTAACATATGGGTTTGTCGTCGGTTTGAACTTAATTTTCTTATACAGATATTCGGGTTTACATGAGATTATAATTTTATGGAAATGACATAACCTATGAAGATCTCTTCTTTGTTTCATTGACAGCCATTTTATATCTTTCAGCTTATGAGTAATTCTATCAAATTTTCTGATATCATAAATATACCTCAGACAACTGTTTTGCACCCTCTGTATGCGGTTAGAAGTCACCACATCAACAGCCGGGTGGTAGAGTGACGCCATGTAATTAAACTGGTATAGAACAAAAGTTGCTTTTTCAGATCCACCATAAGATAGGCTCGATGAGGATAAAGTCCACACAAATAAGAATAAGCATTTTTGATGTAATAGCCAATCTGCCATCTGTATCTAAACGTATTATCTATTCTTAACCCTAAGCATTTGGATTCCTGAACAAAACTGATTATTTCACCATTCATTTGTATATTTAACACAGGTCTGCTACTAGCCCTGGCATTACCGAGACACATATACATGGATTTACTTGGGTTTACTCTCAATTGATAGTTAGCTGCCACATGATACATTCTATTTAAGTCACTATTTATTTTAGCTTCAGCACCATGATAATCAATACCTGGGAACGAAAAATATAACCGTCAATAAGTAAATCGTCAGCATACATATTAATTTTACAATACTCCAACTGTTTTGCAAATTGTGACGTGTAAAGTGTAAACAACAACGGCCCAAGAACTGACCCCTGCGGGACACCTGTGGTAATCCTCACCATGCTGGACACATCAGCTCCTATCCTACACATCTGCGTCCTATCAGTAAAACCCAAACATTTTAAAGTATTACATAACTTCACATGATTTATAGTGTCGAAGGCCTTGAAAAGTCCAAAAAAACAACTACAGTATACTGTTCATTATCTGAAGCACGCAATATGTCATCAGTTAAGTTCAACATCGGTGTTGTACAACTATACCCAGGTCGAAATCCTGATTGTTCCTGTGGTAATAAACTATTTGATTCCACATAATTCATCATTTGCACCTTCATTACCTCCTCCATGACCTTCGACAACACAGGTAAAATACTAATAGGACGCAAATCCTTTAATTCTTTCGGTTCTTTTTTTTAGGATAAGGAAATACAACAGCTTGCTTCCATGATCTTGGGAAGACATTTTCCGTGATGCAGTAATTAATTATATGCGCCACATAAGGTAGTATAATTGGACAACACATTTTTAACATTTCATCAGTAATTCCGTCTGTTCCACTGGCTGTTGACGATATAGAATTAATAACAGTTAAAAGTTCTACAGTTTCAATTGTCTTAAAAGAGAATTGTGACGATACATGACTGCTATGAATTTCATCATTTAAAGGAGTAAAGGAATTAGTAATATCCCTAACACTATCTAAAAAGAAATTATTAATTTCTTCTACATTTTGTAACTCATATTCAACCTTTTCAAGCTATTCCTTATGAATTTTTTATTTTGCTGGCTACTGACATACAAAAAATATGCTCTCTTTTCATTTCTTATTGCTGTGGTAGTATAATTACGCATTGACTTATAATAATTCCAATTGACTTGTGTATTATCACGTTTAAACTGTGCTTTAGCCTGGTCACGTAACCGCATTAATAGTTTTACATTATCAGTTAACCAGGGAGCAGCAGGTTTTAGCAGGAATATCAAATACATTAATGAGATTTCTCTCCAAAAAAACAACTTTTCATCAACATTCCTCATAAAAAAATTAAATTAAACGGCACTGTGTTCAAATCATGCAAAAAGCTCTGCTTATCAATATGCTTTAGTGTTCTGATTACCCTAAAAACAGGAGAAGACCTAGTCGCATCAACCGTTACATTACAAAAGATCATATCATGATCCGATATTTCACACTTTACCACCCCACTATCAGTCACAACAGAGGTATCAAAAGTAATAACAAAATAAATAAGCGTCAATGAAGTTGCAGTTGTTCTAGTAGGGGTTTCAATAATTTGTTTTCCACCAAGCGTATCAAGAAGGCACATAAAATCAGGGCCATTTACATTAAGCAAGTTTAAATTAAAATCACCACAACAAATAATTTTATCTATAACAGCCAGACAGGTCGCAACAGATTCTTCTAATTCATCTAAAAACACCTTATAATTGAGACCCGGAGATCTGTAAACACACTCTACTATTATATTATCACCAAGCCCTTTTATACTAATCCAAATTTGTTCTATGTTACTATTCGAACGAATCACTGTACAGTCATGTTCACGGGAAATGCACACTCAAGGTTAAGCGCTGTTGTGAGATCCGACATGCCGCTGGCTCGGCTGGCTAAACGGGTTGAGCCAAACACTCACGAGCAGCGAGCTTCGTGTGCGCTCGGCTCAGCTCGTTTAGCCAGCGGCATGTCGGATCTCACAACAGCGCTTGACCTTGAGTGTGCATTTCCCCTGAACATGACTGTACATCGTATACTTGAGCGCACATAAAAACAAACGCCCCCTCTCCTAGTACCCCGATCCTGACGTATACACATATAATTCGCAATGTTTGTATTGTCATCCATGATGCCGTTGTGCAACCACGTCTCTCTCAAAGCAATTACATCAGTAGTGGTCTCAGCAACAAGGAACTGTATGTATAAAAATACTTTCCGTGTATAGTGTAATAAATTTCCTACAACTTTTGTCTAAGGAAGAACTGCGTATCTTGGCTTCTTAATAAGATATATTTTATACTTTCAATAATAGCAGAGTTAAAAAATCAATGATAAACTACTTCTTCTTTTTTGCTCATTTCTACATTATGCCGGGTCGGCTTTGTCAATATTTCTGCGCAGCGACATTCTATCCTTGGCTGTTGGTTCAGATAAATTATTTTATCATTTAGGGTCTTGGTTATGCTGATCTACTACGCTGAAGAAAGCTATCCTCTTCCTCTGTTGTTCGCCGCGAAGCGTGGTGCTTTACTTACAACATGATGTTCGTCTCTGCGCAAAACGTCACTCAACTCTCCGTAAGTTAACCCAGAAAAACACGTAACAAACGATCTACTAAATCAAACCAGTCGAGCAAACGGAGTTCCGTAAAGGGTATAGTACCAAAACCATTTCCATACAATGAGAATTCTGATAGAAAATTGTATAGAATATAACAAGCCCCTAATTAGTTCCCGTCTTAGTGGACTATGAGAGGAATGAAAAAAGAAGACCATCAAAGAAAAATGAAAACTAACAAAAAAAAGTTCTAATCAATTTATTACAACTTCATCTTTCTTAATTTACAATAGTGTAAACCAAATTACATATACAAGTATAAATATGTATGTATAGTTACACGGATGTGATGGACATAAAAAAAGAAATAATAATAATAATTAATAAAATAACGAAATGGATTTGGGGGCGACCGAAAGGAAGCGAAAAACCGGATTGTTTCATAAACGCGACGAATGATACTTTAAAAACGAAATTAAATGCGGAGTGTGTACCTAATTACAAGTGTTGTTGTTTCTCTTTAGCTTTCATTTCATCATTTTCTCTTTTTTAATCAGTTTTATTTTTTCGGGTTCATCTCATTTATTTATTTCACAAAGTACATTATTACAACGGCTCGATCGTCAGATGGTAAAACCGCCGAGGCTCGAAATTAATAACTATGACGTCATCATATCACTCACAGATGATGTATTTACATTGGGACCTTTTAACGAATCGTTTATGTCTCGTCGGAACATTGATAAATTTTGAGTAAACCTAAAATTAATAAATAAATGTATAAATAAAAAAATTTATTAAAATATTTATCTTACCTATCTCTATTTTTTGTAAGTAGATTCCTTTCAATTCCATCCATTAAATTTTCAAACCACTGCGCCATCGGCGCCTGTTTATCCGGAGGTTGTGATCTAATAATATTTTCGCGCATCTGATTGAAATAGTCTTCATTGAGAAGAATGAGTCCTAGAAGTGGCCGCGACATTGACCATTGATTTCGACAATCCTCGAACATAATTACGTTGAGAACTGTGCTGAGAATTTGTTGGAGTATTTCCGGATGGACTTCTAACACTTTAAGGAACATGTCGCTTGACGGTGCCATTGCGGCGTGAGGTTTTTTACCCGGATAAACTATTTTGTTTTTTAAAAATTATAAATACACAATTTAGATTAAATTAGAGTTACCACGGTGGTAAAGTCTTCTTTAGTAATTAAGTTCGTATTAAAAGCGAACACTTCACCACCTTAATTTAATACTAATATAAAGATCTAATTGGTGAGTTACCTTTTTGAGTAAGTTTTTTAAATAAGTAGGTCACTATGTGGTCGAGAGTAGCGCAGCACCCGGTACATACCATCGTGTCTACGACAAATTAATAATGAGCACTGTTACGTTAAGTTTTTTTTCTAGATAATTACGTATCAAAGACACACACTAATATAAAAACTGTTTCATAATGTGCCAAACAAAACTCATTATAATAAGAAAGAATCTGATGATGGTAAGGACTAGATCTTTCAGATTTGTCAGAAATTACTTAATTTTAATGAGATTTTTGTTTATCACAACACTACTAAAAATGGTTTAGAAGAAGAGTATATTTATGTGTATTAGTGAAGCTAGACTCGATTTTATTATAAATTTGAAATTAAATTAATCATACTATATTTTATTGCAATTTATCTGCACTACTTTGGTTCTCGAGCGGGTTAGTGACTATCTGCTAGTCAGCGGAGATTACAGTGTGTTAATTAATTATCGTACCCGACGTCATCATTACAAGTATGCAACCAAATACGCAAATCGCGTATTGCAATACCAATAGTGTGATATTGGTTGCATATTTGCAATGATAACGGCGGGTACGATAATTAATTAACACACTGTAGTCTCCGCGGACTAGCAGATAGTCACTAACCCGCTCGGCAAATGTGGTAACTTAATCGCCAACTCCTTCCATACATGAAATGTCGGAGTTTAAAATGAAACCACCACAGGCGAGTATAGCGCAAGGCTCAGAATCTCATAAAGATTCGCCAGTTAGCCTCAGGGGAAACCATTGGAGACATTGCTCATCCTGTTGAACAGATGCCTCAGGAACAGAGGATTTCAACTACGTAGGGGAATGCAGAAGTTATCGTACTGTCCAAAAAAAGCGATTGTGCGAGTGTGGAAAATTTTTACAAACTGGTAACAAGAATAGTTACCCCTTGAAGATCATGCATATGCTAACTGAGAAAACAACAGAATACAACATCTTCCTCTACTTGGCCTTCATAGATTCATCATAGATCAAAAAGCGTTCAACTCCGTAAAGATATGGCCAATACCAGAAGGAATGGACAAGGCGACAATCTAACCTTGTCCAATGCAACACTACAGGTCAAACTGGGTGAACCCATGCTGACGGAGAAGATCACAGTTGAGATAGGTCCAAACTATCCAAACTATTCATATTAGCACTGGAGGAAATTTGTAAGAAAGTATGTGTGGAGAAAAACCTATATAAACCTAAATCGTGGCCGACATCATATGCAGCGACCCAGAGGAGTTGAAGGATATGCTGCAGCTGCTCCATAAAATATCAGCAGAAGTGGGTATAAGGATGAACCTTCAGAAGGCAAAGATCTCGAGTCCCGACGCTACCCAGTTTTCGGTCGAAAATTGTATTATAAAACACTCGTCTAACTTGGTCATTATATCAAGCTGGGCAAAGAAAACTCGACTGAGGTTTCTCGACGTAAAATTTTAAATCTGTTTGGGACTCAAATGGTTAACTTGGCCCTAGAAAACATTATAAGGAAGACCAGCCTGCACATAGGATCGACATAGTTAAGCCGCTTAAAATAAATCATAGTAAAATCCCTAGATTATCAAAGTACCGCGGTTCATGAAGCCTGTGTGTCGAACTATTCGAGCCAAAATGGCGGTTTGACAGCTAGTCAGTGCATGACACCACTTATTTACAAAAATAATGCCGTCTTGTTGCCTTTGGAGTTGCAAAAAAAACAGTGAAAAGGGCTTTCGGCTCTTCAGAGTATCACGAGAAAAAAAAAGAAAGGAAATTTGGCGTAATTTTAGCAACAGAATGACATAGTTTTAAATTTCTCGGTTGACTTTCGAGCCAAAATGGCAGCAAACCGCGGTACTTTGACAATCTAGGGACTTTAAATCATAGGGTATGCAGACGACATCTACATACTAGCAAGAGAGTTAACAAATATAGATGAGTCCTTCAGGGAACTTGATAGCGCAGCTAGGATACTAGGCCTGTATATCAATGTGAAAAAAACTAAACTCCTAGTGCAGAGTACGAAACATCATAATAGACGAATACAACTTTGAAGTGGTACCAACATTAAAGTGTAGAGTACTAACCATGATCCGTAAAGTACTAACATATGGAGAATACACTAGAGAGGAAAATCTTAGAAAAAAATAATGGGATTAATCAGGGATATGTGGAGAACTGATTTAATCTTGCAATTTCGGGGAACATCTTCTGTGCTTCGCTTGGTACACCATCTATTTCTGGTCTTTTGTGAGTTTGTTGTCGGTGTTTGATTAAGTGTAGTGTTGACTAGGTCTTGAATACTTTCATCAAGAGCTCTCTTATTGTCCCAATAGATTTCTAAATCGATGGACTTCAATCTATTGAAGAGTGTTTTTCTACATTCTCACTCTATCCAATGCTTTCTAGCTGATTATTGCAGCTGATTGTACTTTCTTGTGCACTTTTGATCGATCACAGAAAAGCAGCAGAGCAAGATAGAAATGTCAAATCTTCACCGAATAAAAGGAAAACTCTCCAAGTTTTCGTAGTATGATGTGCAAAGGTGTTCCCGCAGAGGTAATGACGCAACACCACGAACTGCGCAGCAGCGGATCAACTCGCGTAAGTTCAGTGTGTTCTGTAGATTGCTAAATTCGTATCCGCGACAACAATGCAACGTGTATATTGTCACGTGTACAAATAAATGTATAAATAGTGTATAAATAAGAAAAATAGGGGCTGTGCAGGAGAGCTACCTAAGGAGCCCTAAAAAATCTGTGCGTGCTTGTGCTTGACAATTACACCTAAGCTAAAGTACAGTTAATAAGGTGTTGAAGAAACGGCTGCTATTTTTGGGTTACAAATTTAAGGACTCAAGGAGATATAAATTATGTTTAGAAAAGTTACTATTTTAGATTGTTTTTATAGTACCCTTATTAATAAATGCAATTCCGTTAGATACTAAAATATAAATCTTAGATTATCTAAAGTGAAGCAAAAATTCTACATCTCTTGGCAAAGCTGGATTTGAATCAAATCCAACAGTTATGATAGATATACATATTTGACACATCTATTGATGACAGCATTTTTGGACCTGTTCGCTTATTATCAAGTAGCGATGAATATTTGCGAAATTGATTTTTATTCCTAATTTCAATGAATCTAGCTTCTGTATTTGTTCTGATCGTGCTGTGTTATCATTACCTTCCTTTATACAGCAACATTGTATTTTGAATCATAAAAGTACGCTTTCACAACATTCCAGAGTATACGTTTAATTGAGGTTTGTCCAAACCTAGCAGTGCAAGTGCGCGGAAGCAACACGTGGCGTTCACAGGACATAAATCTGCCGCACGCATGTTTGGATATTCCAAAGAATGTTCGCGCGGCAGTGCTATCGCGTCATATGTGACTCGAATACCGCCCAATGTTTGAACGCACCCTTATACGTCCGTATATAATACATATCCGTGCTAAAGGCTGTCAAAGTAAACCTTTGCAATATTCACAACACGTTGTCTGTAATCATCTTGTGTTGTTGCATAGTATTTGCAAAATCTTATTGTTTTCGGATACCATGTTCCTTTGGCTCTAGATCAAAGTCACATAGAGAAGGTCAGGAAAGTATGACAAGGCTACAATTGTGTGCATACACAACACTGCAGTTTATACAATTTCTTATGTGATCTTGCCTTCTTGTAGAAAATAACTCCGCTCTCTAAGAAATCGGGAAATGCTTTCATATTCTTGTCATATTTGAGATAGCAAGAAGTTCTTATAATAAACACCTGTCATTGTTGTCTGATGTGGGATGAAATGACGCTCATAACATCATAAGCGATAAACAGCCTTACACGAAGAAGGAATTCCGTTGGAGCTTCTGCTTTCTTGATGATCCAACTGGTCGCCTAATCGATGTTTGACTTCGACATCAATTAGGATTATTCGCAAATAATCTTATTTCACATACATCTCTATGCTATTATTAATTCTCTCAAAACCATCTGTTGGTGTGCACAAACACATTTTTAGCATGGGCCAAAGACAATTCTATGTATAAAAACAAACCTTACAAATTAAATTATAAATTTATGTATTCGGCTTTTGTATCTGGTGCTCGTTCCACATTTTTGTATTACACGTTCCACATTGTCATATAAAACATCATACAGTTTGGGTCGTATAATGCTGTCATAAAGCGGACTTGAATCGATGAATATATGGAATGTGTCGATGTTGTGCTCAAGGTCCTTCTTCAAGCTTCCAGATATGGTGTAGAACAATATGATATTTGTGAAGCAAATATTAAATATCGATTTTTACAAATTTATAGCCCTTTCTTTATGTAGCATATAAAATTGAAGCAAAAACTGAAATTATTGTTTTAAAATAATATACGAAAGTGACTAGTCCAAGCAAATACCGATAAATCCACATTTCGAGCAAAAACGGACAGTTTTTCTTTAAATCAGCCATCTATACAGGGTGTATCTGAATGACTGCAACAAACTTCAAGGGGTGATTCTTTAGTAAATTTTAAGGGTACTTTGATATATGAACCATGGGCGACTTCGGCTGCCCTAAGGAGCTACACCCCTCCAAAAATGGCGGAAATTTTTGGTTTAATTTTTTTTTTCTCAAAAACCATAAACGCTAGGAAAATGAAATTTGGGGAATATGTTTAACTCATAATAGGGCATGTTTTGACCCTATTTGTACTTTCAACCTACCCCTCTAAACTACTAAACGTAACCACCCCCTTTACATTTTTGTTAATATTTTTTTTTATGCAGATGATAAATACATTGGAAAAATTTTAGTTAGATAGATAAAACTATTCTAAAACTTTTTTGTCTCTCTGATGTTCTTCGAAAATGTAATAATTTCTGAGAAAAAAAATAATGAAGCAAACACTAACTGTTAAGCTGTAGGGTTGTTAATCGAAAGTTGGAATGAATTTTTAATGAAAAAATCTTAGTAGGCTTTGCAATCTTTGTCAGAAATATTTTTGACGTTTAAATGTCAGTGTTTTTCTTACTATTATTATTGTTTTTCAAATTAATTTTTAAATAAAGTTCTATCGCAT